CACCACATTGGTCACATTAAAATTAGCAATTGGAAATTAGGTTGATTGACCCGATAGATTTGTTGCACAACACTTTTTCTTTTCCCACCTCAGCGCAAGCACTCGCTAGTGAAACGTTGCTGCTGCCTTTCAACCGTAGACTGTGCTGCCCGATATAAGTTCACCTCGCTGTCAAATTGTTATGCGTTGTATTGCAAGAAGGCCGTAGCACTATTATTATTATATTCAGGCAACCTCGAAGGCACCCCGGACAACGAAAGAAAGACGCTCATGCATGCACCCGGTGTACATTTAGAGGTAAAATATGGATGGATGGAGTACTCCTTACATGAGCACACAAAAGAAGCAGGTGAAACCTAAAAAAGGGGTGAAGAAGGTAACGAATTCCCCTGTTCCTTCGTCAAAAAGCTAGAAAGAATACCAAGCCTTCAGAAGCAAGAAAGACGTCGTCAGTCTCAGTGTGGTCAGAAACAGAAAATATTTGTTTGTCAAGGAAGTGAGAGGGTGTCACGGAGGAGGCCGAGCTATTCTCTGGATAAAAGATAGAAATGGTAGTAACCGAGAGAGGAGAACTACGTGACTGCCAAGGTTTACTTCTTTTGAACACGCGTTTGTTCGGAGCGTTTTCATCCTTCCTTAGAAGTATTTTGTTTACCACCACTACTACACTCTTCACTAATATCTTTCCACTAGTTTCCGGGCTTTCATTTATCTATCTATGTGGATTCTGCGCTCCTGCGGCGTTTGTTGTGAGGAAGGTCAGCTCACTCGAAACTCTTGTTGTTCCCCTCAACGCCATATTTTCCTCCCGCATCATCACTGCTATCCTTGGTTATAGTTTCCATATCCATCCTGCGTCACTACCACCATATTCTTTTTCGCTCGCCTCCCTACGGAAACCTCAGCCTATTGGTGGAACCTAGTCGATCGGTAAACCGTGACATTTGAAGAGTTCACGCTTACCGAGAGTCACCGAGCTATACTTGTACCTCGAAGGGAAACCGTCTCCGAATCGTGTTGACGTGTAAGGCTTGAGGCGAAAAAGGCTGGGTGTGGGGTGTGAACCGGCGCTATTGAGGGGTTCGATAGTACCTGAACCGACGCTATAGCGGGCAGCCCCCAATAGTGCCGGTTTGGCACTATTCAGGCCTGTGTCTGTGTCAAGAAATCTTACCGGTACTATACCGGACTTTGGCGCTGTTCAACCGGCACTATATCGGGACACCTACTGTTCGCAATTCGACTGCCAACCATGGTGAGTGTACACGTTATACGCCTTGACTTCCCATCTGTCTTGCCGCACACACCCAAGACTTCAGGGATCATGTATGCTCGGCTTGCTTGTCGTCTTCGTGGTTCTCCTTTTCCTGTTCGGGTTGAGTCCGGTTGTTATGGTATCTTTCTCCTCACAAAGCACTGCCGGCACGAAAAAAGGATACGTCCACCCCAGCAACGACCGACTCCTTTGCGTCCGGAACGGACTCCGGCGGCAATCCTCTCCCCGACGACTCCGTTTCACCCCTGGGAGGTGACCTGTCCGCCTTGCCCTATCTTGGACTGAGTCCCGTTCTATTTCTACCTGATTTCCTTGTCTGATAGGACCCCGTTTCCCGCGGTTTTCGACTTCGTTTTCCCGTGTGTAAATGCATCCATCCTCGGTCTTGAGTACACTTTGAACTTGCGTCTATTTGAGGAGTGATCTGCGCGCCTGACCTTGCCGCAGCCACTCTCCTCGTCGCCGTCTTTGGGTACTACTTCGTAGGCGTACGTATCAGGATTCGTGCTGCGTTCCTCACCTGGAGGGGTTGCCTTTTCCGTCTGTATGTCGATTATTTTGCGGTTTGCCGTTTGTCCTGCAGACACACAGTCTATACATTCATGCCGGGAAGATCAAAAAATAAATTCCATAGCCTTCGCCGGTGAACCCATCGGGGCTGCCCTCGGTCGTTCTATCCCGCAATTGTCCACCGGGGTAATTGCGGCGGTTAGGGCTTCCCCATCTACGTTTGCCTTACGGTTATTATTGCCGATGATGGGTACCACGGTCTCGGCCGACGACCTGTCTTTTTGCCCGCTCAATTCGTATTTATGCGCACCTCGAGTGGGGTATAAGTCGAAAACGGGGAGAAATGGTGTTTCTTGCTTTCTTCCTTCTTCGCTTCTTTCATTTTACATCCATGGATGGATGGACTTATCCATCATCTTCATCACCGCCCCCAACTACACCACCCTAGACCCCACACATACAGTAGTGGGGAACAAGCGAAAGCGCGTCAGATGAGGCCTGGGCTACCCCCGGGCTATGTTTTATTCTATACTCCGATGTGTAAAACCGAGATTTCTCATGCTGAAAAATTCCAGAGCACGACCGGCCCCAACACGATT